CCTTTTGCCACTTGAGCTAGGCCTTGGGGGCATTTTGTTTGAATGTTTATTGTGTAGTTAAATGGGTATATGAAGCCCCAGCAAGAGAACTAGTGCTGAAAGCTAATCTTTTTGAGAGATAAAGTTTCTTGTTCAATTATTTAGACATATTAATCGCAGATTGAAGTTGTTAATCTTTCTTCCTTGTACATATTTATTTGATGTTTGCACCATGTTTTTGCCACTGTCCTACTTTTTCTTTTAAAAACTTGTAATAGTTAAAGACATAGTATTGCAGCTTCCAGATTCTATGAAGCAAAGTCAGGCTGACCTGTATCTCGAAACTTACCAAGTTTTGGATTTGGAAATGAGCCGTCTGCGTGAAATTCAGAGATGGCAAGCATCCGCGGCATCTAAGGTTTGAACTGACTATTCTGTTTATCTATAATCTATACTAATGAATTTCTTCTCATTCAAGCTTTTCTGCTCGATCTGTCTCAATGCAGCTGGCAGCTGACATGCAACGTTTTTCCAGACCTGAGCGTCGTATTAATGGTCCCACAGTAACTCATCTTTGGTCTGTACACGTGTTTTATCTTTTCATTAGTCTGTTCTCTTGTGCTTCTAAAATAGATTAGTCTTTTCTCTTTATTCTGTATTGTGATGATTTATTATTGGGTAAAGATTACATGTTACTATTTTGTATTCACTTCCTTGATTGTTATTGCTTCTTTTAGAGTGTGTATAATCTTGGAAAATGTTGACAAGAGGGAAAGCGGCCCTCCACCTCCAATCATGAGGTTGGGGGTTTGAGTCACCAATATAGCAAAGTGGGAAAAAAACCACTATCCTGGGTATGGCTGTTTTTTGCGTGGGGGTTAAGTTTAACCAAATCTGAAAAAAAGATCTTCGGAAACATGTCAATTTTCCGTTAGAGTCTCTTCTTTAGCACAATTGGAAACTGCTATTTACATAGCAGTTTATTTTCAAAAAAATTGATAGTTGTCAAAGACAAATTTGGATAAGTCGAGATTTACGGAATGTAGTACTTGGTCCGGCTGCTGAAAATTTGATCTGATGAACATAGCTTATTACTTGAGACTTAAAATTAGGCGAGGCAGTCAAATTCCTCTCTACATAGATTTGACCTAGAAAGCCAGTATGTGTTTGCTCTTTTGGAGAGGATGTTCGTGCAGTATTGTTTGATTAATCTTTGTGATGCAAGCAGAGACCAGTTATTTGCACAGATCAAAATCATTTGATGAATTCTTCTTGCAAATATGCCACACCACGTCACCACCTGATTTCTGATTATTACATGATTATTTTCCCAAAAAAGAAGAAGAAAAAGCATTCAGTTGAGAACTGCTGAAGTTTTATTGTGAAAATGAACTTGCACCTTTACTAGTTCATTTAGTTTATCTTTTCTGTTTTATTGAGCTTATGCTTGGTGTATTTTCTTCGTTTTCCATAATGCACTTGAATCACTAACTTCTCACTGATCATTAGGGCATAAATTTCAAATGAATTTATTGCAGGTCCATGCTGAAATTACTTGATGTTCTGATCCAGCTTGATCATCTTAAAAATGCAAAAGCTAGTATACCTAATGACTTCTCTTGGTACAAAAGGTGTGTGTCATAGTTGTTTGTATTTCATGAGTGCTCAACTTTTCCATCCCTGCCATTTAGGACAATTAGTTGCACAAAGGCTTAACATGTTATAAATTGATTACTTAAAAGTAGTAATACTTTTATCAGTTTTGGTAGTGTTTGTCAATCAAAAAACAAGGAAAGTATTAAGTTACCAGTTTTTTTTTTAAAAACCCCAAAAAACAAGGGAAATATTTGAACAAAGTGATCATTCTAAAAGAAAATCAATGTAACTGATGGTAAAAGTTCTTTCATTTTCACGACAACCTCATGCTTGGTGTTAATTCATGAGAATGTCTTCCATAACTTGATTGCAATCAAGAATATCGCATTTTGCATATTTTATTGAAACTCTCTTAGTAGCATATTTCTGGGGTAATATCTTTTAAGGTGTTGTATATTCTTGTTCAGTGTATACTGAGTGTGGTCACTCTTTGCTCCAAATTTTTGTTCTGATTTTTCAATTTGAAAGAGTTCTTGAAAACATAGGATCTGTTGTGCCCCCTAAAAAATTGTGTAACCACCAAAAATTAGAGGTAACCCCAACACCCCCTCCCCAGAGCATCATAGGATGTGGAAAAGGCAGGATCCTGGTTTTGAACTTTGAACTGCCAGTCTGCCAGGGTGAAGGGGCCAAATCTTGGTGGTCCCCTCACGGTGTAAAGGAGAGAACAATGGCCAAGAAGAAATGGTTAAAGCCAAAGGTCCCACAAAATCTTATTTAATTGTTTGTTTGTTCTGGGTGCTTGCATCAGAGAAACAATTTAGTATCATGAAGTGTCGATCATCAAATTTTATGTTTATAATGAAGTAGCCTAAATTTGGAATGAAATGAGCCTGAATAGAGCGCAATAAATGCAGAGGATTCGTATAGTCCACTAGACTAGTTAGGGATTAAGCTTAGCTGATCGATTGAATGAAGCGGCTTAAAGAAATCTGTTACATGGTTTTCTCCTTTCCCCTCTATTTTGTACTTTTCCCAACACCAGGAAGTTCAATGTAACCATCCATTTAGTAGAACTTCTTCCTATTTGAAAGCGTTTCATTTGTTTGTCATATCCAATATGCCAGGACATTCACACAAGTTAGTGTGCAGTGGCAAGATACAGATTCAATGAGGGAGGAGTTGGATGATTTACAGGTATATATCTACTTCTTTTGTATGTTTAGGTTTTTGAATCATGTTAACTTGCACGTATTTGTATGTGCTGAACATGAATTGTTACATACTTGCAGATCTTCTTGAGCACGAGGTGGGCTATTTTGTTAAACTTGCATGTTGAGATGTTCCGTGTGAACAAGTATCCTTCAAATGAACATTCTCTACCCAGAGGAATGGTTAATCAATGTTGCTGCACTGAGTGAATTTTGTTGCATATGAATGTATGTATTTATGACTGGATGCTCATGACCCCTAAGATCTGTCATGATAAATCTCATGTTATTGGTGTCTAATCCCAAAGAATAAAGCCCAAATGAAGGAAAAATTCTAAACCTATCAGAGAATGGTGGGCCTTTTTAAATTTAGATCCTTGCACCAACTGATTAACCATTCTTATATTGGATGCTAGACCTGAACCGCTATTTGATGAAATTAATTCCCTGCACAACATCAGTGCCTCTCCAGCATTTCTCTCAGCTAAGACTAAATACATGACAACTCGATGCAGATTATGAGGCCAACCTTGAAATTGTGTTGCAAACACTACTCAGAAGTGTTATTCTAGAACCAGAGAGACCACTGGTTAGTCAACCTAACTCCGACTTCTCCTCTCACTCTAATACTTCTCTCTCCCATGGAACCAAGTAGGTTCGAACTCTTGCACCCAAGGGTGTTGCCTAGTGGTCAATGAAGTGGTTCAAAACTCAGTGGAGACAAAAAACACTAGGTGATT